CCTTATCATTTTATAGTTGTGAGTCCAACTTCAGTCATAACACTGGTAATTTTATATCCCTGTCAAACAGGAAACCTGAACACACAATACTAAATATGTATTTACACTTGTCACCATAAATACTGACTCCTGTCTGAGCAATATTTGCGAAACACTAAAGTACATGGCTTGGTTAAAAAAAAAACTATATCAAACAATTTGTGATGAAGTTTTAAAGATTAACATGATAGGAACCTATGTGCTCTGCCTGCGTGTTCCATGCTGGGTTAAAAAGTCAAATGTAGTCACAGCAGAATAAGACATGGTTGGTTTTGATCATTTCAGTTTTTGTTGAAAATTAATATCATCACACCTTTTTTAAAAATATTCAAACTAAAAACCCACCATCAAATAAATTGAGGTCTCTCAGCAGCACTGGGCCATATACACCCTCCAGAATGCTTTCAAACCCTGCAAGGCAAAACAAACAATCCTTCAGCACGGGAAAAAGGAAGATATGTATGCTTGACTACTTGACATTTGGATACAGGATGTTCTACCTATTTTATGCAAACTACACCAATTTACAGCAACAAGACATACAGTCAGGGAAAAATTATTTGAACCCCAGCTGATTTTGTAAGTTTGCCCACTAACAAAGAAATGATCAGTCTACAATTTCAATGGTTTATTTGAACAGTGAGAGACACAACAATAAAAAAAAATCCAGAAAAAAGCATTACAAAAAAAGTTATACATTAATTTGCATTTTCATGAATGAAATAAGTATTTGATCCCTTTGCAAAATGTGCTTTAGTACTTGGTGGCAAAACCTTTGTTGGCAATCACAGAGGTCAGATGTTTCTTGTAGTTGGCCACAAGGTTTGCACACATCTCAGGGGGGATTTTGACCCACTCCTCTTTGCAGATCCTCTCCAAGTCATTAATGTTTCATGGATGATGTTTGGCAACTCGAACCTTCAGCTCCCTCCACAGATTTTCTATGGGATTAAGGTCTGGAGACTGACTAGGCCACTCCATGACCTTAATATGCTTCTTCTTGAGCCAATCCTTTGTTGCCTTGGTCGTGTGTTTTGGATCATTGTCCTGCTGGAATACCCAACCATGACCCATTTTCAATGCCCTGACTGAGGGAAGGAGGTTCTCACCCAAGACTTGACGGTACATGGCCCCATCCATCCTCCCTTTGATGCGGTGCAATTGTCCTGTCCCTTTGGCAGAAAAACATCCCCAAAGCATAATGTTTCCACCTCCATATTTGACGGTGGGGACGGTGTTTTTGGAGTCATAGGCAGCATTCCTCCTCCTCCACACACAACTTTGCCCTTGACACACTGCAGCAACGGGTAAGCACGTGTTTGGAAATTGTAGATGTGATTATGATGATTATTTTGTTAATATATGGAAGAAGCAAACTTCTTTGATTTTTGATTCCTGCAGGGCTTCATTCCTATGGTTGTACCCGACATGCTGAAGGGAGCAGTGTTTGTAAGCAACAGTAGCATTTATTCATTTTCACTTTATGCCATTTGACTGTCCCTATATGTTTCACAACAGAGTTTTGACCTGTTTGAGAAGAGTTGAATATTATGAATGTTTATAAATTCCATATCAAATGAAATATTTTGTAACATTAACAAAGTTTCTAAATAAGTTACTGCAGGTGTGAAATTGCTGATATTCATTTCGAAGCATTTTTCAGTCACACAATGTCCCAACCTTTCTAAACCACTGGTGTCCTTTCATTCTGTTCCCTCCTCCAGGAGGGTTGTGGGATGCAGCCCAATGCCCATCGCTCTCAGGTCTACTCCCTGGATCCGGCCTGTTTCCCAGACCTCAACCTGGCTGGCACCGGAGAGGTTGGCATTGCAGGTGGAGCTCAGTTCTTCACTAATGTTAATGCTAATGTTAATTTTCTGAAGACTATGGCTCTGTCTGAAATCATTCACTGGTCACTATATAGTGTGTGTCTGAATTCTGAATTTCACTATAGAGTGAATGAGGGAGTGATTTTTGGGCGCAACCTGAGTGTGTGTACAGATTGTTAGTCTCATCATACTTTGGTTTAGCTCATTGTGTGGGTGTACTGTATATCAGGGCTTTTAAGTCAATGGATTTTTAACAGCAAAACGTGTATTATCAGGTGCTAATAACGCAAGAAAGGACACTAAATTGAAGACTCGTTTTGGAACAGCATGGTAAATTTTGTGGCTGAGAGAGTGTAACAACCATCTAGTTATTGTCTGGTTATATTAAGGATTTGTATTTTTCTGTTTGACTGAAGCTTGTGCTTAAAGCTAGTCAGTTTGTTTTCAGCTGCTAGAGCTTTGTTACTATGTACTTGCGTACGCATGGGTCGCGTGGAGTGGCAGCAAGTTACAGCAGCTGTGTCCTCGTTGTGTTCTTTTCTGTGTTTTTATGAAGTTCTGTTCTTATGGTGGTGTCTGTTCTTATGGTGTTATGTTGGTTGCTCTCTATTGCTGCTGTAACACAGAAATTTTCTGTGGGATCAATAAAGTACCTACCTGCCTATCCCTCCTCCTTCATGCGGGCTCAGCGAAGGCTTTGCCTACGCATAATTCATCTGCAGTGTGGATGCGGAGCGGTGTGGGCCTCGGGACAGGGGAGGGGCTCATGGCAGCACCCGCTGCTCATTGAGGACAGTAACTGTAGAGTGATATGTGCTTTCATGTCAGTCTCCAAACCACCAGAAAAGTCTCCAAGACTAGATTTGTCGCTAGTTGCTTTTGACAAAAAAAGTCGCCAAGAGGATTTGGAAAGTTGCCAGATTTAGCGAGAAAGTCGCCAAGTTGGCATCACTGCTGATTGTTACTGTACAATAAAGTTCACTTGGGGAAAAACAGGTTGTTTTCATTGGTCCATATAGAGGCAATGACTATTCAGGTGCCAAACATTTCTTCTTCCTTTTATTCTTTTTTTTTATTGATAACATTGACGTTATACACCTAAATCTTAAAACGTGGCTTAGGAGAGACGTGCCTATCTACTGAATGCTACATGAACCTCACTAGTCACATTATTGCGCTGCGCTGTGTGTTTTTGTGCATACAGTTAGACTGTGTGGTGCACCTGGTACAGATGGGTTGTGAGGTGAACACGACGACCAGCCGCTTCAACCAGACCCCATCACACACTGCGGCATTTGGAGGACAACCTCACTGTCTGGTGTGGTTGACTCAGGCTGGAGCAGATGTCAACAGACAGGTCGGTCCTCCAACAACATCTAGCAACAGTGTAACCAGATGTAGTATTGTGCAGATAATATACTGGTTATACTTTCGTTATGTAAGGTCTTGTTGGTAATAGCCTTCATTATTATGTTTAGAAATGATATCTTTAAGAGTTTTACATTGTGTATTCAGGACTTTGTAGGTGAGGCTCCCATCCACAAGGCAGCTCGATCAGGTAGTTTGGAGTGTATCCAGGTTCTGTTGATAGCAGGTGCTAAACCACAGTAAGTATCCCACAGTTTATTTACTACTAAAATATGCAGAAGTAAAACCAAAGGATTTAGTTAAAATGGCAGCCCCCGAATTAGCATTTTCTTTAATGTTCAGTATAATTTGATCAGAAATCTTATTTTAGGTATGCAATATCTCGAATCAACAACCAACTGGGTTCGACCACCACTTCTGTGCTTTTCTTTATATTTCTTAAATGCTAACATATTTCCTAACACTGTAGAAGCTCTACTGCTCTGGTGTTGGTGTACTTTGTTTTCATTCACTCCGCTGTTTGGGAGAAAACGGGCCACACTTTCATCACTTTTCTAATCATCAACAACTCACTAAGCATTCTTCATAATGATGTTGGTCATTTTACCAGTGTAGTTTCACCCACTGAACAACATGGTGGTTCTTAAAGGATCACATCCAGATTTAGTTGGTTGCATCCCTGCTTATCTACCCCTGTTTATCTTCAGCAGTTGCACAGCTAAAAATGTTCTCATATGATAAGAAATAGTCACTGATAACATTGACATGCAGAGGCAGAAAAGCTCGTGTTTTTATTTACAGTATATGTTGAACACTGACAAAAGACACTAAACCTTACTACAAGTCTGTAGTCACTCGAGCAAGTGAGATACAATGCAACAGTGCTCATGCAAGACAAGTCACTTCCCACAATTCGTTCATTGAAATACGACGAGACTTCCTATCCTTATAAGAGGGATTTCCTAGTATGGAAATGTGTTACATTTATATCAATTCAAAATCAACCTAAGAAACATATAATCTTATTTTCATTTATTTAATTACCTTTTTCTAAGAATTATGATTTAGAAATCTGAATTTAATATCAGAATAACAACTTTTTAAAAAGTCAGCTTTCTGAATTATTTTCTGAATTCTTTAAACTAAGAATTCTGAGTTTAAAGGTGCATTCAGTAAGGTTTTGAATGTTGTCTCATATATCCCATAGGATGTGGTCCCTCTCAGCTTTACTATCCCCCCAGTGACACTCCGCTGCCTACAGCCCCTGTGTTGTTATTCCAGCTTCTCCATCCTTTGTTTTGATTGTCCATCCGGACATTAGCCTCACCCACCACCTAGCTAATATTTTAAGAAGCGATTTTCGAAGGTTAGCCATCATTCCCCAGCCAGCCATGGAGGAGCTCCCATCTGCTAAAGTCCAAAACGGTGGATGCCAGACCAAAGAGACAGTGGGACAAAGAAAGAGCAATCTAAAGCTAACACGTTTGTTTTGGTAACATTAGGGACCTAGTATGCCCGTGGTTCACTCACTGAAGTCCCCATCTTACCTCTAAACCAATGAGTGAAGTCTTAATTTATTTGTTATGGTGGCTATGGACTGGTGACTGCATTCGTCATTGCTAGGAAACAGGATTTGTCAGTTTGTTTTGACTCTTACAGCAGCTGAAATGCACCTTTAAAGTCAGAACTTGAATAAATTATTTACAGTGGTTCTGATCCTCTTCCGTAGGTATCGGATCAAATTTCAAAAGAAACCAAATGAGCAGTGGTTGATTGGGGCAGGGAATCTGTCAGTAAATAGATGTCATGAGCTTCTCAGCCTCAGGGACTTTGAGTCAGCAGCTGTGAAGAGGGTGTGGGGGAACCTGTTTAATTTGTGTGATTGGTCCCAACATGTTACCTTTGAATTCAGTATTTACATTTGCTTTTGGATCACATACCATATTAGAGACAAACACCCTGCACGTTCTGATGTTTTGCAGCTATTGAATTTGAACATGATTTTCTCAAGTAATCCCAGAAAGAGGGTGCAGTCCAAATAGGCACCGCAGAATCTGGCACATCAGTGAGCATCTTACAGTTGTGGCAATGCGTGTTCACTATTGCTTCCTACAGTTTCCGCAGCTGGCAAACTGGCGAGGTATTTCCTGCAGTGAATCGTTTCAATGCTAAGACAACCCTCATGCTAGTCCTAGTCATGTCTATATCTGCATGCTTAGTTTACAACTGTGCTAACAAACTGACAGGAATCACAGGAAGCTCAGCCTCAGCTGGAGACTGTGTTGTATTGGAGGGAGAGGCGCAGAGTAGGTGATGAAATATGAGCAGAATCAAAGCATGCCAGGGGATGTATAAAATGAAATGCTTCTTTAAACAATGTCAAAATTAAATATCATGATTTGCCTGACCTCTGATTGTTAATACAGGGTTTGTACACAGTATTGTTGCACTGTGCACCTTGGTACCTATAAGAGCATATTCATGCACTGAATAGTGATAACATCCATTACAACATAATTAAACATACTGTATGGGAAGTGTGACAAAATCATCTTAACTCACAAGTCCCCTTAGTACCTTTTCCTGAGCTTTCATCTGCATTTTGCAGTCTTCATCAGCGAATGGGGCTAGCTCAGGTGTTAGTGTGGTCACATAGCAACATCTGGGAATTACATGATGACATCTGATGACAGCTAAGCCATCACCGTGACAACCAAACAAATCCATCCAAGTTAGAGTATGAGAAGTGATTGAACACATACTGATCCCAAGCGTCCTATGCTCAAAATCTGATTAAAGATTGCAAGTGAAACTGTGGAGGAACTCTGAAGCTTCTCTCAACACCAGACAAGACCAAATAGGACAAATATAATGAGTTATTTTAGTTATTATGTAATTATTATTAATAGGCGGTAAAAAAGTTTGATAAACCTTAATAAAACCCTAAAAAGAAGTGAAAAGTTACCAAAAAGAGCCACAAAACAAGCACAATGTAATGCAAAATGACTAAATGAGATACAGTATGACCACAAAGATGCACAGCAACAAAATATAGGTGCAAAATAACTAAAAACAGACAACTAAGAACACAGAGACTTGAATTATTGTGTTGGCCTGCATTAAAATAAAATATTCTTGTGTTGGCCCTTTTCATTTTGTCTGGTATTGAGGAAGATAAATATTTAAATTTGATTATTTCAGAGCCTTGTTAGAAGACATTTCATTTTATGTAAATGACTTGGAGTGAGGATTACCCATAATCTGTATATAAAGATGGACTGTGTGACAGCACCCAGAAGGAAAGCCGCTTTAAATTGCCCCCTGGTGGCTGGTTCCAGTATAGGTCGTAAAAATTGAACTAAAAAGTAAAAGCACAAGCACCTAAACTGAATGAATGTAAAAAGATGGTGTAAATGACTGAATGTAAAAACAAAGGTGAGTTAAAATAACAGAGAGGTGACTTGATCTGAAAATGAAACATAAGGTGGCAACAAGAATGACCTGTCAATTAACAGTCTAACATTTGTGTGATTGGCAGCATCGCCAAGCTAATCAAACAGCTGACTTGATATTTCTCTGTACCGTTGACTCAGGAAGATAGTTACAGCCATTGATAAGGTTAGCCTCCACAAAGAACACATGAATATAACTGTGTTGGGGAGTAACTCTTGTGACTAGTAACAATAGAGATAGCAGAATGTAGCCTGTTGCTAATGTAGGTAGCACATACTGAATTAGCTAAGTTATGTTAGCCAAGGGAGCTAGTTTGTTGATGTTACATAAATCATGTTATAAATAAGTTGGATGCTTTGACAGCTTTGATTGGTGGTCGGATAGTGCGGCTCCGCCTGTGGTCGCTACTGCGCAGAATCATGATCAAATTGGCTCACAAAAGCAAGATGTCCAACTCTGTTTTGGCTTCACTTTTGGATAGTGGCAGGAAGGGGTGTTGCATTTATATACAATACCTAACTAATTAACAATTAGCAGGACTATGTTCTTTAAACTGCAGATTTATTAGAAATGTACTTTGTCATTAAGTACTACAGAGAATAGATCTTCTGTTAGCTTTGCTCTTTCATCCTTATTTTACCTTTTGGCCATACAGGTTTTAAATAGCATAAAAAAATGACTTAAGATAATTGAAACTAACATGAATTGTAATCTTGCCTTGTATCATCTAATATTTAAGATATGAGCTCTCTTTATTCAAGCAGTGACACTTTATTGATCTAGGGAAAAAGTGTTGCAGAGGGAGATTGTCAAGACCACAGCAAATTTAGAAGACATTCTCAGCTGTCTCTGATGATGACAGTTCTATGATGATCTCACCCAGCAATATTTACTTCCAGGTTTATGTTTAAGTCAGGATGCAGTCAGGCTTTTAGAGATGAAACAGTGTGATGTCAAACAGGAAGCACTGTCTCACTCTTCTTGTTCAGTTTAAGAAACACCAGTGGGCAAACAGCAGCAGACCTGGCCCACGCTCACGGCTTCCTCGACTGTTTCCGCTTCATTTCCAACGCCCAGAAGCACCTGCTACAGCTCGGCGGACTCCATGTGAATGGAGAGCAGAATGGAAATGCCCCTTACAGTCAGAGAGCCCTGAGCAGAAAGAGGCAGCTGACTGCCATGGACAGCATTCACATGAAGAAAGCCAGGAAAGCCGAGAGTAAGAAATGCATTTTTGTAAAGTGTTAGTAGTGCGCTACAAACTTTGAATGATGATATAAAGGCCCCCAATTTTTTCCCAAAAATCCTAATATTGTAAGCTCTAACCACCCACCCACAGTTCCCATGCAGCTTCTTTTATCATTCTCATTGTCTGCTGCAGATGATTTGGTGCAGATGCACAGCAGTGCAGGTGAAGAGGAGGAGGAGGAGGAGAGCATGACCGCAGAGTCTGTACAGGAGCGTAACTTAGGTGCGACTCGAGCTTGGTTATGATATTTATGTTTTCCTGATAAAGCAAAGCTTGTTATGCAGAGGTCAAAATAATAAATGTTGCATTGTCTTTCAATAAAAAGCAGATGACACCGAAGCTATTGCCAACAGCCATCGTTACACACTGCCTTATGCTGCCCAGGATCACACTGAGCAACACAAAATCCTCTCTTTGCCGTCCCCCTCTCCAGCCAGTCAGCACGCAGCAGCAGTGCCTGCACAGCACTCCTCAGCTGACATGTGTGGGTCCTTGCATCTGAGCAGCAGTCCCAGCAGCTGTGTGTCCCACCGGCCAGCCTGGTGGGGGCCAATAGGATCAGACTGCGGGAGTCCCCTGCATTACGGACACTACCACGGCTTTGGGGACACGGCGGAGGAGCTGGGCGACAGCAGCTGCCTCAAGTATAGCAGCAGCATCCAGGCTGAGCACAGATACATGCAGGCTGTGGCCAGCACCGTCCACCTCCAGCACAGCTCCTAAACACAGGGTTAACTGCCACAGCCAGCCTCCTTCATATGCTTTCTCTTCACTTTAAAGAAACACATTATGGGAAATAATCATTTCCTGGCCTGCTGCTGACTGGTTTGCGCTATCAAGGGCTGTTGGGTTACGTGTGGCCTGACCTGCTGTCCATCAAGGTGGAGGAACAACTGCACTGAGACTTAAAACTCCTTAGTAGCCTTGATCTACCAAAGAGGATATCTTATTGGTTTGTGCACTTTTAATTTGAAATCTCTTGTTTTAGAGCAGGCGACTGTCATTTTTCAGAGCTGTACTGTAATTTTATAAAGCATACTTGAGATGTTTGGGGAATCTTTAATTATTGTAATATATGGAGAGTGCGCTGAAAACATGCTGTCTCTTGTTGTAAACACTATGTGCACTGTGTGCCAGGTAGGCACTGCTGCTTCAGACAGCAGTTTTATAATATTTTGGGTTTGCCTCTTTTCCTATTAAAACCTGTTTTACAGTTTTATAGAAATGGTAAAAAGGGATGTCTTTGTTGTTGGGCTGGGTTTCTATCTTTTCACTTGTATGTTGGGGGAATAAAAAGTTCTTCAGCTATATAGTTTTAACAGACAGAATTAGGGCCACATCAAAATGTCAAGAATAAAGTTGAAATGTGTAAGTTTGACTTCATTCTCGCCATTTCACCTTTATTCTCAGCGTGCAAAATAAAAAAATCCTCCTCTTGTTGGACATATCAGTTCCTGACATAGAGGGGGAAATAAAAAACACTAAACCTGTAAAACAAGGTGTCACCTGCATTTTTAGTCTTACTGTGAAAGTAGTTTCAGTCCAGTGAGAAACACTGAGGTCATGACCGCAGTGTTAACACTAACATTAACACAACTCTTACACTCTGCCAAACATTCTGGTTTTATCTCAACACATTTATGTATGAGTATTAATTAAACCAAGTGATTTCCATCGAATATAAATATGCCAGGTTACATTTTGGGTCACTGAGCAAAACAATTTTCAATACAAATGGAGCCATAAGAGATAGTGAGGTTTAGGTTTAGTGTCATATCGCTTTAATGAAGTGGCCCAGCAAACACAAATACAGTAAAACATTGTTCTAATCCATGGCACTGCAGAAAATCATGATGATCACTTTCACAATGTGAAAAGGGAAAATTCACTGCACTAGTTTAGACTGCAGTAGCTCTAGCTACTGTAGGTGTACCTTATAAGCCAAAAACTACTATGCATATATGGAAATATCAAGAACTGAAGTAAAAATGTAGCACTTTCAAGACATGAGCTTCAAAACTGCTCTTCAGAAAACCAATGGGTGACATCATTACTAACTACACCTCATTTTCTTCACCTGTGTTGTGGTGGAAGCACAGACAGATACAATCAAACCAAAACTGGATGGTAGATACCACTAGAGGAGTTTCAAGATGGCACCGTTGTGTTGGGCCTGCTTTTTAAAGAAGTTATTGATATTATTGGCCCTGGGCTGGTCAACTTTGTTAACTCATGCTTGAGTTCTGGCTCGGTTCCTTCGACCCTTAAGCATTTCGGCCAATATTCCTACTCCCTTTCCTTGCTAAAGTTATGGAGAAGTTGGTGCTTACTCAGCTGCAAACTCACTTAAAATCTTTAGATTTGGGTGATAAATTTCAGTCTGGGTTCAGGGCCCGGCACAGCACTGAGTCTACTTTACTCAAGGTACATAATGATGTTGCGTTAGCCCTGGATGCAGGACGCCCAGTCATTTTAGCTTTGCTGGACCTATCTGCGGCCTTTGACCAGTGGACCACTCGATTTTACTTTTAAAACTCCAGCACCTTTTCGGTCTGGGAGGGGAGGTGCTAAGGTGGTTTGAGTCCTATCTTACCTATTCAGTTATGATTGGTGACCATTCTTCCGGCACAGCTTCCCTGACTTCTGGCGTCCCGCAAGGCTCCATTCTGGCCCCTTTGTTATTTTCCTTGTATCTCTTACCACTTGCCGCCATTATATCTAGTCACAATGTTCCCTTTCATTTTTATGCTGATGATATCCAAATCTATATGCCGCTGGTTCAACCGGAGTCAGGTTCGTTTGGTGCACTACAAAACTGTCTGCACGATGTTAAAACTTGGCTAACTCAGAATTTCCTTTACTTAAATGAAGGCAAATCTGAATTTATTGTTATCAGCCCCCATTCGGATGGAAGTGTAGTTGATCTTGGCACATATGCCCCCTCGCTCTCTAATGCGGTAAAAAATCTGGGGGTAATTTTTGATGTCAATTTTAACTTTGATAAGCAGATCAAGTCAGTGGTAAAAACCAGCTTCTACCAGCTAAGATTGTTAGCAAAGGTAAAGCCATTTCTCTCTCATAGTGACTTAGAGAAAGCCATTAATGCGTTTGTGACCTCCCAGCTTGATTATTGTAATGCCCTGTACTCCGGTTTATCCCAGTCATCACTCTCCAGGCTCCAACTTGTTCAGAACGCGGCTGCCCGTCTGCTAACAAACACTCGTCGGCATGCCCACATCACTCCAGTTCTGCTTTCTCTTCATTGGCTGCCCGTTAAATGGAGAGTAGATTTTAAGGTTTTGCTTTATGTTTTTAAAGCCATGCATGGCCTTGCCCCTCAGCACCTGTCCGATCTCTTGGCTAGATATGTCCCTCGCAGAACCCTACGATCATCGGGTCATAATGCTCTTAACGTTCCCCCTGCACACTACAAAAAATGGGGAGGCCGCGCCTTTGCCGTGCATGGCCCTAGGCTGTGGAACTCCCTGCCTTTAGATATACGCTCGATAACTGAGCCGGCAGCGTTTAAGTCAGCGTTAAAAACGCATCTTTGTAAACAAGCTTTTAATGTTTAGCGTGTCCACTGTTTTTGCCAGCTTTAATAATTTACTTTTTAACTAGTTTTAATATGTTACTGTGTGTATTGGTCCACTAGACCGCCATGGGTGAGCCCCCAGTGAGAGAGCCGGCCGGGTAGTAGTTGGCCTATATCAGTCTTTGGATATCTATTTGGCTTCTTGTCTGTCTATGAGTGTTTTTAACTGATATTGTATTGCTGTGTTTCTATTGTTGTAGCACTTTGTGCTCTTGAGCTGGAAAGTGCGGTACAAATAAAGTTTATTATTATTAATATTATTACTAGAGGGAGATGAGGAAATATGTTTTTACTGAACCAACTCATTTTATTTGAGTGGAAGAAAATATTTTTAAAAATGCTTTATTTCTGATCTTAAAATAGGCAAATGCAGTGCATAACAAAGGCTCTGCATGACAGTATTATATGAATAAAGGGCATAGCTCATATGAACACTAAAGTGAAGCCAAGTGTATCAACTCCTCAGATCTAGTTGAACAGTCTTCTGCAGACTGGCATCGAGAGCTACTAGGCCATCTCTGAATACCACCTCATCTCTGGTGTCAAAGGTGGAGCCTGACCTCAGGCTCCAGTCAGAGCACACAGATCCCTTGTCACACTGTAACAGTCCTCTGCACTCCTTCTATGGCCAGCGCCCACATGACTGGACTTCACCACTCTGAGAACTGACATCAGTATGTGATAATGTGTCCCTCTTCCTTTCTCTCTCTGCAGCCACACCCCCATGCTCGACTGTGGCGGTCGGATCCAGCTGGTCCAGTGATATCAGATACTGAATGATGTGGTCAGTCCAGGGCTCTGCTGGACACTGTCCGTGCTGCTAGTGTATCATCAGCAGAGTATCTGACACCGAGTTGTCAACGACTGTGGGACAATCTGATGACTCCTGAAGGATCCTGAAACAGCAGAGACCTCAGTGGTTGACTTCTCACAATGAGCTGCTACACTGGCATTTCCTTTTGAGAAGGCATTCTTATGGTTGAGCAACTTTCAGCAGTAATATTTTACACCTTTCAAACAAAGCGTTAAAACTAAAAATTTCTTAAAACATGTTTTCATTTCATCATTATGGGTTACCGGGTGTAGACTGGCAAAAAAGAAAATTTTATCCATTTAAAATTAAATTTACAATGCAATATAGTGGGCCAAATGTAAAGGACTGTAGCATTTAGACAGAAACGTGTTCACGCCTGCCTGTTAAAGTTTCCCATCTCTTCTGGTCTTTGTTGGGCTAGAGAGGCCAACTCACTTCTTTCTCGCTCACTGTCCACCAACCTACAGTACTTCTCGTGGCTTCCAAGTCTGCACAGAAACACACAAGCAGATTTATATTGTCCTTTCAAGAATTGTGCATATCAGAATGAAATCTCAGTAACCTGTTTTGATAACTGCATTCTCGGCCTCTCTGTCTTTCAGCTGGTTCTGTGTGTTCTAAAGGGCTTTCCGTAGATCTGTGAGGTCCTCCTGGAGTTCCTGTAGTCTGGACCGAGAAGCACCGAGCTCCTCCTGCAGAGTCAGCGCTGTGGAGATGCGTGACTCCGATTATTCCCATCCCTTTATTCCTGAGTGTAAACTTCAATACACACATAGGTTCTACCTTCTGAGTTAGTGTCTCCATGTTCTGTTGCCTTTCTGCTTTCTCTTTTATATGCTGGTTAAGAATCCTCACACACTTAAGACACACACACAGTGTGATCTCTGGAGAAAAACATTTTCAGGGTAGCCAAATTGCTGTAAGACTAGAGTGTGTGTATGTTTTACCTGTGGAGCTGAGTGTTCTCGCTGTGTACTGATGATAGGTCTGATACAGATGGAATGACTGAGCCACCAACATTCATCCGAGTCTGCTCTAGGTGACAGAGAAGCCTTTCTGCTACACTACCTGCATGCGCACACACACACACACACACAATTTTAGTACTGTATATTTTGTGTAAAGCTTAAACACCAATTGCAAAACTTTGATTTTAGTACAATTAAGCAAAACTCACTGTCAATCATGTGCTCTCAACTTCAGTTGCAAACACAGCTAAGGGAAAGAATTATGCAATTTTCATTATTGTTATAATTGTCACCTTTTTTGTGATTTATAACTTTTTCTTGTGTAAGGTTTTGAAATGAGTGTCACCCCTGTTACTCTGATGCACCTCCCCCTAAATACACCCCCTGGTCATTTCAATAGTCACATGACTTTCAGGATGTAGTGTACATTTTTGGATAAATCATCTACAAAAAATATGGGAAGTACCACTCTTAAGTGTCCATTTTATTTTCAGTTTTTTGGAACCGCATGGGTGGAGCCACAAGGAAGGCGCTGGCCACCGGAGTCAAAATGGGACGCTCCTCAGTATTAATGATAGAAAAATTATAAACAATGACAAAATGTTGCTTTAACTACAAATAACGATTTTCTGGTGCTTTATAATTGGCGGAGAGATGGCTCTATTACATTGCTATTACTTAAGTTTCTCACAACTTAAAAAGTTGAGAGAGGTGAGACTAATATCTGAAACAGTTAGCGTTGTGCTACATGGACCAAA